TTTAGTTTACATGACATCACTTTTAAGCGCACCTAGCGACATCTATTGAAAAAAAAATGAATTTCTTCGCAATAAGCTGCCACCTGGACGTCGTAGTTAGAGACTCATTATTATAATACGATAAAATAAAATATTACTATGTTTCGTCCAATATATTGAAAGTCAACAAGCTTTCGAATTTTACTATGTTATATTCAATATGAGGCCTGAACAATTGTACTAAGATTGAACCCCCTGGTATTGTATCAGTCTGCATACTTAGCTTGCTCAATTTCTATTTTCATTTTACTTTTTTATTACTATGAGGTTTGCTGGGTGAATACTGATATTTTATAAAATAATATGAATATCATATTAAATATATACAAAACAGAATATATCTTAAATAGAATAATAAAACTTCAGCAAACCTCACAATAAGATATCTAGTTTTAACGGAAAGAAAGGTTCTATAAAATAAAACTGGGTTCATATTTATTTATTTTTATTTTTTGTTTTTAAACATTTCAGAAAGTAAGTTTCGGCTTGGTTTTGCAGATAGACGTTAACATTGTCTTTCTTTCTTCTACCAGAAAATTTTATTTATATCTTTACAGAATTGTCGTACAAAAAATCTTAAAGAGTAATTATATAAAAACTTTTACTTTAAACGAATTTTGTGATTAACACATACTGCGATATTACGATTATCTATTGAAAACTCAATGACCAGTTTCATATATTGTAATAAATTTTTGTTGGCATATTTTTCTTTAATTAATTTATCAAAAATGTCTTGAATTTGTGAAACCACATAAACAAAATCGTCACTGGGATAACAAAGCCAACCACGTCCAGAGTACTCTCTATATTTTAAATATTCGTTATCCTTACTTTACTAAATAATGCATCATTACATTTCCTACAATTTTTAAAAATGCGTTTTTTACAATTTTTTAACAAAAATCCACTTACATATGCCAATGAGGCAATTTCTTTAACATTCTTTTTCTTCTCCTCTAAAGGTGTTACATTAATTAATAAATCCTCCATATTGACATCTTGGACGTGTTGATCAGTGTTAATCCCAGGATGTATCACAAAAGCCTCAAGTGACTCACAAAAATCATTTTCACAATTTGAACCGGCTGCATACACACTTGACATATTATTAATCAATAAGGCCATATAAGCTGAGCGAAATGCAGCTGGACTGGGGTTATTATTTCGGTATCCATGGCTTCTAATGGACCCGAAGAAATTTTCAAGAGGGTCTTGGTTAAGGTGTCTAGTCCAAAACGATGTAATATTATGTTTGTTTAACTTTTTAACTAAATATTGTAAACCTTCAATTATCCATATGAAGTTTTGTAAGGTTGGTGTGGTTTTTGTATTGCCTGATTCATCAACAAATTTCATTGAATTTAAAATTTTTGTTTGGCACCACAACTCATTATGTGCCGATGTTGATGTTACAGCTCTTAAATATGGCTTCCCATGCTTTTCTTTTTTACTATAACTTCGTTCATGCTGTCGAATAGGTTATCAAACATAATTAGTAGATCAGCAGTGTCCCTACATTCTGTAGACAAAATTCCCTTTTCTGAAAAAATAAACAAGAATATTTTACGTCAATATACACATGTTATAAAGGTAAGATAGCTTCTTGTTATTTGTACCTGCCTTTGCCCAGCATTGAAACAATGAGATAATAGAAATAATAATAAGAGCTAAACATCTAAAATAGAATATCCAGTGTAAAATTTAATAAATAATCATTATTATTATTAAAACATACTTATTAAGCAGTGCTGAACAGTGTTACGGGTAGAGAGATAAAAATGATAGTAACAAATTTGGGACAACTCACAACAATTTTTTAGAATAAACCTAAACAGAGAAGAGCTTGCTCTATGGAAACTAAATAACAGACAGTATTATAATATATTAGCATATAGCATTTGTTCCTTAGTAATGGTTGTTTATATATTTCTAGTTGAGCTGGTTATTGAATATTTTCAAAGTTCCTGAGACTTGTTAAACTACTTTTGCCTGCTGTCAATGTTTTGTCAATAATTGTAGAGCTCCAACAATCTTCTTTCTCATTGAAACGAAATGAGGAGATAACAAAATGGTTTGAATTTTTATACAATTTTCTTTTGTATTTGTATAAAAAAAATTGTTAAAAGATTCATCCTAACAATATAATCAACACAACAAAAATAACTTTTATCCAATTTGGTATAATTGGTCAAAGTTATGCTCATACATACATTTTGGCGATTTATTTTTATTTATATAAAGACCGATATAAACAACCATGACTCATGAACTTCTGCTCATGTTGGTCAGGTTGTGCTCATCACACAATAAATGGGTCTACCGGAAACTGAATCTAGGATCATTAGAGTAAAATGTGTGATCACTATCATTGCATCAACTAGTTGTTTGAAGGAAAATAATGAATACTTACTAATAATGTCTATGTCTTCAGATTATTCAGTGATTGAAGCAGAACTTTGCAAAGCCTTTAGTTTTTCATCATCAATATCCATGTCAAAGATTCCACAGGAAGCTGGAACATATCCAAATATAGTCTATACTACACTATAAACATTATTTAAACATGATAAACAACTATAAATCTGTCACTATCAGATCTGAATGTATGATTAATGTGTTTTAGGTGGTGTAGTGTTATAATTCCACAGAAACGACTTTCAATTATATAGAATATATGCATATACATACATTTTATTTTTTAATGTATCTTACAAATATTGTAAATATGAAAGTTTGTATGTTTGTTACTGAATCATGCAAAAAGTACTGAACGGATTTTGATGAAATTTGGTACGCATATAGACTTCTGGACAAATCTATCGGCCCACTTAGTGTTATAAGTTTTAAAAGTAATAACAATACAATTTCAAGAACTAACAAAATAGATTGTTAATAAATCAGCTTCAAAACTGTGTAAAAACTTTTTGCTCAGTGTAACTTTATTTTTAGCTAGGGACCGTCAAAACTTAAATGTTCCATACAAAGTCGCGGTTGGCTGCAAGTAATTACCTAATTAAAACTAGGTACATTTTATATTTATAGTTTTTGTGTATATTATGTCTAAGCTAGTTTTTCATCTTAAGTTAAGCAGATATTAATATTAACTTTTGATGTTGTTGGCATATTCTCTTCAATGTCTGTCATAGATCTCTGTCCACTAAAAGTAAATTTTGATATTGTTGAAGGTCCTATAATGCAATAATACCCAAATCAGTATTTAATAAAAAAAAAAAAATTACGCTTCTCAATGTAATGGTAAAGGGTAAATACAAAGATAATGATTTTTCATACTAAATTTAAAATAAACAAATTTAATTAAATGTAATCGCTATGTCCATTTAATTTGCCTATTTAGCCAGCATTTAAAGTATATTTTTAGTAAAGTTATGTACAATAAACTGTAAACTAACCTGGTATTCTATGCTAATATTTTTGTTGGGATTGCCAATCGACTGAGCTTGTTAGAGTAGGAACAGAAATGATTTTCAAAATGTTGATGACAAACTCGACCGTTTTTATAAATCCAAGTGTTGTCCAGACCTCATATTTCACCACCAATTGCAAGTACCCATGATCGAAATCGATCAAGATCATTCTCAGGATTAGGAAATGCATGTAGAACAGGATGCGAATCTGAAAAAAGTAGGCATAGTTACCTAACAAATAAAAAACACAAAAATATGGAATTGGATACTGCCACATTAAACACAACATTGTTTTACCAAAAACTCTTGATTCAATGTTGAAGCCAAAAAGATGTTTCAATGGGGTCTTAATTGTTACTAATGATCAAATACATATGAATAAACCTATCATTTAATAAAATAAGTAATAATCTACATATTTTCTTGTAAATGTAGCAGTTTAATTTATGTTGGATTTTAAATACAGACAAGAACATCAACATTTTAGGTGATCAATGAAAAAAACCGTTATGAATAATATTTGAAAATTATAAAAAAAATCTTTATAGTTGAACTTTTGTATTAAAGTGTGGGTCATCTCAGTGAGAAAATTGAATGTGTAACATTGTTACTGATGATGCTCTTTTACATAAGTATAAATATCTTGTGTAATCAGTTATTTAAGTTAGAAGCCTTTCAGGTTGTAATCATTGTTGAACATTCCCGAACAATATTGACATTCATTTGTAAAGGATAGTAAGGAAGCAATGTATTCAGCAATGATTGTTGAACTAACCTCCACTTTCTGGACATCCAGGAACACAGCAATTTCTTTTCGACATGATGAGATGCACAATAGCACACAAGAGTCCTATCTCGAACAAAATCAACACTCAAAGAACAATTCGTATTTCAGCCAAGCCGGATGATTGCTTTACTCAACGAACTTGGCAGAAAACAACAAAATATTCGAGTCACTGAAGTATGTTATGAAGACGAAACGCAAGCGCAAGATCGATCACTCAACACAGTGACCGGCATTTTTATTTTCAAACATAACAACCACATCCAATGTTGCCACCAGAAACAATTATTAAAGCTACTATTTTTAACGTCGAAAATAAAATATCGCACTCATCCGAAATTAAATAAAAGTCCGTTAGATCATAATTTTTAATTATTTTGAAATATGTAAATGTAAATTAAAATATTACTCTAATAGCATTGTATAATTATTAATGCGCATATTTAAAAAAAACGCCTTTTTGGTAGATGAAGTTTGATATGGTAATATTCTATGCTAATATTATATTACAAAATTTAAAAGAACACCAAACACCTTGACAAACCATGTAAATCTACGTTTTTTAAATTTATTGTTTTATATTGCACATCAACGCTACCTGTGACCAAGACACCGAAATATTAATATATAAAACGGCTAATTTCAAAAGCATTTTACTGATGGGATTTTTTAAGAAACATGATGCATTTATAACTCAGTAGGGTGTTTGCACTGTCTGAAACATGTCAAATGTATTGAGATTGTAGAGCCAACGTTTGGTTGTGAAAGAATACTAATGTTTTAGTTTTCTTTGTATTATTTTGAAAAATGTAAAGCGTTTTATTAAATCCATTTGTGTAATGTTGTAGTGTTATGTGTTTTATTAAAAATGAAGGTTATAGAAGCAAAAATCGTAGTATTGGGATCCCAAGGTAAAATATTGTTTTGATAAAATTTCACGAATACTTAAATGTTAGATAGATAACTGTTGAAATACCTCTAAATTTATTCAATATCGGATATATATATAATTCGGATATTCTTTCATATTTAGGTAACCATAGAATGCACTGTATTATTTTTTTCGAGAGATCAGTTTTTGTAGTAGGCTAGTGGTTTTGACGTTTTTTTTTCATGTTGTGCGTTGATCTTAGCATATTCCGTAAAACATAATAAGGTCTAAATAACCTGATAGAAAACCGGCTCCGAACGCATACTTTACTGATGATACAAACGGATATAGATAATGTAGGGTAACAACAATAAGCTTTGTTGTTTACGTATTTACATTTTTCGTATCAAATAAAATGTTTAAAAATATAAGAAAACAACAAATATCTAGCTTGCACAAAGCCTCTTCTTCAGTATTTGAGCATTATAAATGTTTGTTATTTATTTGCCCTACCATGTGGTGTGTACTGCTTAGAAACAAAATATTTATTCTAAGTGGTTTTGGTTATCTTTTCATGAAGAAGTTCTCTTCAAACAGATCTATGCTACACTGAATTTACAAAAATATGTATTTTTTATGAAGATCCCCAAATAGCTTCATTAGACAGCCTCACACATGCTCCCACTTATTAGATGTCTGTAGGTTTTGTTAAATGCCGAATATTATCTGTAGTACCATATACCAGTGCCATTGTAAACACCATTATGCTTGTCAACCTGTTAAATAAACATAATAAATCAAATCAATTTAAATATCCCCTTAAGCGGCAAACGGACGACTGTCGGCAATTTTTAATACATATACATAGATTATATTAACATTATTTTAAGCATTTAACTGCTAGAAATCTGGACCGTTTGTTTTTTTGTAGTGAAATTTTCTTAAGATTTCAACATCTTGCAGTTAAATGCTTAAAAAATATAATAAAATATAACTGAGCATGTTCTTTGTTTTCCATACATTAGATTAGAGAGACAGAGTAACTGCAAACAAACCTACTAAAAAATAATAAATAATACAAATATTATAAAAGTTAAAGACTGTATGTATGTGTGTTTGTTACTCAATCACACAAAGACTATTGAACTGATTTGGATGAAATTTGGCACACATATAATTATGACCTAGATTGAGACATAGGATACTTATTACCAGGAAAAATGTCAGGATCCTGAGGGAATTTCCAAAAACTAAGTTAAAGCTAACAAAGTTACGGGCTGCTGCTAGTTAAGTATAATAATAAGTATTTTTTTAAATAAAACAGCAAAATTAACATAATTGTACATTCCTTGATTATAGTTAAAATATCCTTTTCTTGTTTCTCTTTCACTTTGAACACTTATAATGTATCTGTAGCTTCCTCTCTTTTCCTTCTAACAGTCTTCTATTGATTACTACATACATAGTTCAGTAACAAATCTTATCTTTGCAACTAACTTCAAAAAGGAGGAGTTCCTCAATTTGACTGTATGTTTTTGTAGTAATATAAGTTATTTACGGGATTGTTACCATGTACCATGTTTTTAGCGAGTTTAAACAAAGTACATGGTAACAATCCCGTAAATAACTTATATTATGATAATGTAAGTGCCCATGAAAGTTTATGTAATATGTATGAATGTATGTTTTTGTGCCAATGCACAATTTGCATTTCAAATTTATTTATCATCATTTACTACTTCTTAATATTCCTGCATTCTTCAGTGACAAATTACATACATCTAGATATTAATTACTTAAATAATTATTAATAAATATAAATGCATAAGTATTTCATAACATAATTACTCTGTAGATAAGGAATCAGAGTAGCTGTGTTGTTGTAATTGTAATGTTGAAATAATTAATTTAGCATTTCCCGCCTTGCCTATTCAAATCAAAAAGCTACCTGATCCAAGCTTGCTGTCAGCCAGCTCTGCAATCAAACTATAATGGCAATATCTGTTTATTCAAAAATAAAAAAAAAGTAAAGCACAAGAAAAAATATGCTTATTTGGCATGACCGGGAGCTCTAACCTTAGATATTAAATATGCTACTACATAATATCCGATAGATAAGATACTATTGAAACTGTCTTTTGACACAGATTTATGGCATTTTTCTGTCAATGATAAATATGATTGTATCAAGCAAAATGTTATTGATTGTTAGAACATGTAATGATAAAAGATTTTATATAATATCCTTGTATTAACACAATGGATAGCAAAAGAAGTAATAAATATTTTCTATAAAATTTTCTTTGTATAATCTTTCTGTTTACTTCGAACTCTTATCACTGTTTATATTTATACTAAGGGCTGCCCGCGACTTCGTCTGCGCGTTTTTGGTTTGAATTGGATCAGATGGGATATCTCCCGCCCGGATTGTGGAATGTGCTGTTTCGAATCCTGTCTGATGTCTGATGCCTGGACCGTGTGGATTTCTAGTGAAATTTTCTTTAGATCTCACTGTTGATTTCTGGGGACTATCCTATGTCCTTTCCTGGGACTCAAACCATCTATTATACCAAATTTCTTTCATCTAAATAGGTTTAGTGGTTAAGTGTGAAGAGGTAACAGAAATACTTTTGCATTTATTTAAATAAATCTGTCCATACGTCAAAATTCAGTTATCGCGACCATATTGCGACCTTGCTACGTTTTCTTTTTTTCCGGTAAGTATCCTGTTTGTCTCTGTAGATGCAATGCCTTTCCACCTGGCTTACCAATTAGACGTCAGTTGTCCGATCGAACGAACACAACCTTCATAACAGGGAGAAAAAAATCAGCATTTTTGCTAAGTTACTTAGCAAAAATGATGATTTTTTATGCTTACCAATTTTTCCCCTGGGTGGATACCTGTTGTAGATTTGGAAACCCATCTTATGTCTAACTCCTGGAGATGATGCCGCAGAAAATCCTCCTGGACATATTACCTACTAATATTGTAAATCTGAAAATTTGTGTTTGTTACTCAATCACGCAAAAATGACTGAACGGATTTGGATGAAATTTGGCATACATTCATTACCGGGATTGTGACATCGGCCACACATATAGTTCATTCCCGGGATTGAGACATCAGATGCTCTTTAAAGAGGAAAATAATGAAGTTCCTTTGGGATTCTCGAAAAATCAAAATTTACGTGGACGAAGTTCCAGGCGGCCGCTAGTAAAGTATATAAACATATTGGTTTTTGATTTTTTAAGGCCACGCGGACAAAGTCTCGCTGAGGCAGTAGTATCTAATTATCCTTATTTATTTCCGCAAAACTGTCCAAAACTAATCCAATCATATAAGTTATTTGCGAATGGTCGAACACACTTATGATTTAATTAGATTCCTACGTTAGTTTCCTAACTTGGCGATACATATTTGTACACGTGGCGTGACTTCGTTCGTGTAATTAATACGTTTGAATTGAACTGACCCACCGGTGCGTTAGACCATGGCGAGAAGGTAGATTGCGTTATTTGTTACAAGTAACCACCTACTTCGATCGAAAATAGATAAATTCATTAGCTCACATGCAAAAAAAAAACAAAACTATAAACTATGTTTACTTTACCGTCGTCTTTTTATCTGCTTAGGCCGTTGGTTGATGGTCTTACGGCATTAGGACCGCCATTTATTGAATGACAATGAAGAGTAAATAAATAAATACAAAATGGAGGCAAATACGACCTTAAGCGCTTTTAGCGATCTCGTCCAAAGAACCTTTGCCGTAAAAGACAGCTAAACAAAGAGGAATTTGTCGTATGCCAACATGATAAAGAATATAGTTTTCATTATAAGTACATACATATTTTAATTGTTATATTATACTTACCTATTTGTTTCTTAGGTTTTCACGGACATCATTCATTAAATAAAACTAGTTTTTACGGGTTAATGCACGAAACTTTATTTATTGACGTTTCGCAGCCTTTTCAGGTCTGCATCGTCAAATCTTCCAAAAAATTTTAATTTTTTTTTAAAAATCTTCCAATGAAATAACCGAACGCTCAATATAAGTCTTTCGAAGGTAGCTCGACAATTTTAAATAAAAAATCATTATTCTGACGATGCAGACCTGAAAATGCTGCGAAACGTCAATAAATAAATAAAGTTTCGTGCATTAACCCGTAAAAACTAGTTTTATTTATACTTACCTACTAAAATATTGAGTTTGATTCTGGCGTCATTCTCTAAAACCTTAAAACGGCTATTATATCTATTTTACAGGAGTGTATCTTATCATGTCATATAGATAGAGAACTAGCGGCCGCCCGCGACTTTGTCCGCGTTAACTTTACTTTTTTGGGAATCCCACGGAAACATAAGTTTTTTTTTTTCGGGATAAAAAGTATCCTATGTCTCAATCCAGGTCACAAACTGTATGTCTACCACATTTCATCCAAATCCGTTCAGTTGTTTTGCGATTCAGTAACAAACATACAAACTTTCACATTTAAAATATTAGTAGGATAGGATGAAAAGATACACCTCTGTCAATTTTATAATCAAAGGCATTTACAATACCTTTTTAGTTTTAAGAATGTGGGTAGTTACTACATATGATCACTTCTGTTTCTCAGAGAGGTAGACAGAGACTATTTAATCTTAATACTTTCGTTTGACTTTCCTAACTGAAGTGATGATCAACAGTACCAATTAGTACTATGGCGGCAAGTACAAAACCAAAGTCATTGCAATGTCTATTCTGCTTACATACGGTGACTCAATAAATAAATTGTGAAACTATCTATATGTAGACCGCTGAACTGAGTCCTCGCCTGCGGGGAAAAGGGTGTGGGGGAGGACGAAAAAGGGGACCATGAGAGCAACGGGCGTTAGGCACATTCTTGTCAAAATTACAAGTGCCCGCCGCCCGCACCACACGGTCCCGTCTCACATCGGTTCTCGTCCTTCCACAGGATACCTACTAACATTTTTCCGGGATAAAAAGTATCCTATGTCTCAATCCAGGCCATAATCATAAACTATATGCCTACCAAATTTCATCCAAATCCGTGACAAAACATACAAACTTTCAGATTTATAATATTAGTAGGTTGATTTCTACCTCTACTCCACCTGACGACATGAAATAATGAAATGGTGGAGCGGATAAAAGGCATTACTGGGACTGCAAGACCTTTCGTCTCATGTATAATGAATGGACTCCATGATATTGTTTAAGAGGCCCGAGCACGAGTTTTTGACAGCTCGGTAACGTATCGCATCGTCAAAGTTTCTATAACAACTAAGCAGCGCCCCTATCGGATGCAAGAACAAACTAAGTTTTTCCAAACAAAATTTGACGACGATACTTCACAGAGCTGTCAAAAAGTCGTGCTTGGGCCTCTGAAATATCTTATTCCACACCCGCTCATTCAAGTTTAAGCATTATTAAATGCAACTGCGAATTCTGATTTAAAACGTCTTCTTCACTCGAACATAGGTTTTATCTAAGTTAAAACATTATCTTATCATAGTACCGCCGGCATTTATTGATATTGTATATCAACACAGTAGCCGCTACGTCCCCGCTCAATGCAAAGATGATTAATTGGTAGATTAAGATATATAGTATTGTCCAAGATACGGCTTCTATTATAGATTTCCTGGCTTAAGCGAAATTATTAATTATGCGAAAGAAAAACATTAAAGGAACCACCGAAACGTCAAACAAATACGCCGCTTAAGTTAACCTCACCTTTTAGGCTTGCCTGCTGAACCTAATTCCCTACTCCGTGCGGCCTGAAATCTTACTCACTAAACCAAAAGATTATGTTATACTACTGTGCTTTCCAATACACATCACATTCTGTAATGAACCTTTCATGACTTCATAAATCATCTCTGAAGTCACTTTTCAACTTGACGACTCTGTAAATAATAAAACAGTAAGAAAAAAAACAGCCTTTGCTGCGTTGATTGTCGGTTCTTCTCAATACAAGGTCTCCTGCCGTAGATTTACGAACCCGTGGCATAGCTTTTAGACATTGAGGAGTGCTTGTAACAGCCTAAACTAAATAAATGATTATGATATGATTATTAATAAGGTTGAATTAGGGTGCTTATTAAAGACGCGATTTTTACCCGGGCCGGTGCCGGCTAAGATTGTTCACAAACACGGTTTGTATAGATCTCAAACCGCTGTCGCTAACGTAGGCGCTACAATGTCAATTAAATCATCTTTATTGCGAATACAGGTAACAAAGTTGTTATCCACATACATTCTAGTACAGTACAGCCATATTCTACCTTATCGGAATGCAATACAATATTTGTATAAATCATTCATTATTTCATTGTCAAATTAATAAATTTTACATACTTTATTAAAAATGACAATGTGTAATAATGGGCTACCCACTAAAAACTCAACAGTGCTTCCTCACCTGAAGGAACGGGTGTCGTGGGATCCTGGTGACTCCACTTTTGCGTGGTCTTACCTGGTTAAATCAAGCAATTATAATTTATTCCAAAAAAGGGCGCCAAACAAGCATTGGCCCGCTAGATGGCAAGCGGACAGCTTAGCTTATTAATTTAAAATGTTTATATAGATGCTTGCGATACCGTATACTGTACAACTCGTGTGTGGTCACTCGATCAGACCACGGGCATCAGATGTATTTAAAATGTGGTTATGTCTTTCAGGAGTGGGTAAAACGAGCCTCGTGGTGCGGTACATAGGCAAGATGTTCTCCAAACACATATCCCCTACCATCGGCGCGTCCTTCTTCACATGCAACATCAGCGTCGGAGATACGAGGGTCAAGCTTCAGGTAACCCCGAGCAAGATAACAATCCATTTATGATCAAACGCCGGCTAAATTAAAAGGCGAATCCAAACGGAACTATTTACTTTTCGCATTTCATTAAACAAACGCTGAATAAATATCAAAAACCTTCATTAAAAATTTTAATTTTCTTTTAACACGCCCCAATCAGCCGTGCTCTAAAGAACAGGAGTAGCTAATATAGGCACGTACAGAGACAAAGCTTCTATAGAGCGGGCGATTTTTTTTCCTTTTTTGATTGGATTGACACCGGAGGATAAAATAAAACAAACAAAACGTTTCATATATTTATATTTTGTTTAAGTAGTTATGCGAGTTAACCGATTTCAATGATTTAAAAAGTATATTAATTGAAATGCTTATTAGATCATTATTCTATTGATTTTGAATTGATTCACTGATCTAGTAATGATCCTCATTTTTAAATCGATTAAAAATAAAGTATCGGGAATAGTTAATTAAACTATAATCAGTACTGCCATTTGCCAAGTTTAGATTTTTGCCATTGTCAGTCCACTGCAGAGTTATCGTAGACCGTCCTTATTATGTTCTACTTTCTTATTTATAAATGGCACCCCAGGTGTGGGACACAGCTGGGCAGGAGCGCTTCCGGTCGATGGCGCCCATGTATTACCGGAACGCGAACGCCGCGCTACTTGTGTTCGACATCACCAGTGTTGCCAGCTTCAACGCCATCAAGGGATGGGTCAAGGAATTGCAGAGGTACACACACCGAGACAAATATCTGGGCTGCGTTCAAAACTTACTCTCTATGTGCAACAAATGTTAAAGTTGACATTGGCTTCATACATTGTATGTGAAAAAGAAACTATATATGTATAGAGTTGCACTCGAGAGCGTAGGTTTGGAACGCAGCCCTGAAACATAATCATAGATAACGAAACCTGCGCATTAGAATTTGGAGTCAAAAAGCTTGCGATGAGGCTGAGCAATAGAGAAGAAGCAGTATAAATTATTGCCTGCGACGACTCTACCTTCAATCTATAAATGATTAAAAAATAAATTTATATTTCTTACACTCACACCAATTAGTCTAGCCCGAAAGTAAGCATTATTAGACTTGTGTTAAGGGGTATAAAGGTACCTAATGGATAGATATGGCTCAAAATCACCAAGGTGGAAAATACTGAATTCTGTTTTATGATGCTATAGAGTAGAAGCTAAATATATTGATAATTACTCTAAATCATAACTAAACTTATGTTAAACTATATTGACCTTGGCAGAGCATAGAATTAAATACTTTTCTTGAAATTTCAATTTTTAAGTGTGCTATCACTAAAATTAATCATTCGGGGAACGGTATTCGGAGGTTTATAATTAAATAATAAAATATATATATATTTCATTTTTACCCTTAACGATAACGGAGATACGTCGCCAATAGTACGAACTTAAAAAACTTTGACAAAATTTGGAATTAAAACGTTTTTAAGGACAATGTCGCTGTAAATTAAGCTATGTGACTATTTCATGTTCTTAAATTTACAAAATAAGTGAATATCGCTCACTTGCATATAAATAAATCTGCGGTAGCTATAGGGATTCAGCCTGTTTCCAATATTATCAGACTTTATTCCTAAATAACTTATGTTATAATGGCATTTCTTTGCTTTTAGAGGTGTTCCCCGAAATGATGAAGGCATTCATCAAATGACGATATGCAGACAATTAGGGTTTAATTCACAGTTAAATTGAATAATAAGCCAAATTATAGGAAGTAATTGTTATTTATTTATTTGCTATAGGATTTATTCTTAACAAGAACTTAATCTTAATTCAATTAAATCACTTTTTTAGTCTCATAATTGATGACACAGCCAAGTAAAACTCTTGACGTCAGTGCTTTAACTGAACATGAAAGGAGGCGTTTCTGTTTCTTAATCCCGTTTTTCTTTACGAAATCTCTCTTGGCTGGACACACCCTACTGACATCATCTCTTTGGAAGAACTCTTTGACTTTTTCGCGAACTTCTTTATTCAAAACAACCTCATAAATTTTGGCGTCAGATTTGAGAATAGTACTGGTTTTCTCTTTTGGCAAAAAACTATTAACCTTATGAAGCAATTTGTATTGCCTTACCATAATCCCGCTAACACATTTTTGAAAAACTACCCTCTCTTTGGATTTTTTTCTCAAATAAAAGATTTCACTTCGTTAAATAAAAGATTCTTGCGCACTTCAGGAGGTACGTCAACGTTTTCTAACAATGCGTTAACTTTGCTATTGGGAGTTGTAGGGTTCTGAGACTTCACTTCTTTAAGTAAGCTGTACTGTTTTTCTTTATTTACTTATTCGAACGGTTTTTTTCAGCTTTGTGAGACTCCATATTGCTGTAAAAATAAAGTTAGTATACCTATTGATAACTTTGTAAGCACGACATACACAAAATTGACAGTTAGTAATAGAAAGTACCAATTAGTAACTAAATAGTCATTTGGGGAACAACAACATCATTTAGAGAACGGTCCATCAAATCGGAGAACGTTCCCCAAATGACCGTTCACCAAATGATATTTTCAAATAACCGCGTCTTTTTTAAACGGCAGCCATATTTGACAGCAATTCTTGCTTCCTTAATGTAAAATATTTGATTATAACATTTGTTATACAACACTATAAAAGCTATTATTGCATAATTTTGATTGGAAAACGCGTTCCCCAATTGACGACCTATTGATGTACGCTCTGTAAATAATGAATTGAAAGCCACTTACCACTTATTTTAATTTCATTTGGCGAACTACTTTCTTCACAACCACTTTGTTTACAACTCTCTCTACAGCTGTTCCATAGACTAAAGAGGGATGCGTTCGAAATTTTTTGTTTCGCGTAATCAAAGCTGCGTTCACTAACATGACGCTTATATTGTCGGACATTATATTTAGACTTAGATTTTTTAAATTCGTTTTTCTTCTTTAATAATGCCTTCAATAATGTAATATTAGATACAATTGAAGGTGAATGGGTATTAATAACCGTTAAAAATGTTTTAATTTATGACTATTTCTGGTGTTAGCTTTTAAGAATTGCTACTTAGGACGCGTTCTCCAAATGATTTTTTGTACTTATTTGTCCATATAAAATGTAATATATAAGACTTTTTAATTATTTTGTGTGATGTGTGGTTAAAGTAAACACAGTTAACTGTTTACCAATGCTAAAATGTCAAAAAAAATACAGAATTTAGGCATTTATTTGCTGCCGAAGTGGATTTACCACCTTGGTGATTTTGAGCCATATACATATGATGAATAAATAATCAAAAAAAAAACTGTAGTAGCAATATACATACCTAAACAGCCATGTCGTCTTTTATTGCGTTCGATACCCCTACCACTGGTCACATTCTCACTATTCACTCGCACTTCAGTTCAGCGGTTTAAGCGTGAAAAGGTGACACATGGACAAACAAACTTTCGCATTTATAGTTAGACAGACACACTTTCACATTTATAATATTAGTAGAATAGAATATAAACAGCTGAGCACCAAAACCTTACAATACCCAAATTATTCCTGACTTTGTCTCACAGCAACGTGCCAGAAGAGATGGTGATGTCTGTGGTGGGCAACAAGTGCGATTTGCACGAGTGTCGCGCGGTCCCGTACTCCGAGGCGACCGCGTACGCTGCCTCCATAGGCGCCGCTTATTGCGAGACGTCCGCTTTGCATGACCAGGTATGTTTATTATTGTATTATTAACATATAGGTAAGAAGAAAGTCACCCCTCTACACCTGTAGTGATAGCGGAATCCGGGTGCGAAGATGTGCAGCAGTTTTATCTACCAGACCTAGGGACACATTTAGGAATTTCAAAAATCCTAACATTTCGAAAAAATTCCGGACCTTTTAGTCACAAAATGGTAGTACTACTCACATAGTTACAATGGTATGGTATTTAAATTAATATGTACTTTGATTATTCATATTCAAAGTAATTTGAAAAATCCGGACAATTTAAAGATCCGGGCAAAGTCCGAGCTATAGTCTAAAAGTCTGGACATGTCCGGACTTATCTGGACGGATGGTAACCCTAACCACACCGCCAGCCTTGGTTTCTTCATAACAATATTGTCAAAGAAATGGCTTAATACAATAAAAAAAAGATTAATTTAATGGTTGGTGTTTGTGAAAACGTAAGAATCCGGCTCGAAGGACCATGTAAAACTTACTACTTGGTAAACTGGAGATGATGATGTTTCTTTAGGCACACGCCTATCCAGAGCAAAATTATATAGGAGAAACGGGTCATAACACACCACGTGAACACCACCAAATACAGATTGATAGGTAGTTAACGACTAGGGGTGGTGATGTGTGTGGTAGGAAACAAGCGCGATTTGCACACATGGAGGTATAAGAATAGAGTGTGGAAGGCAGCTCTAAAAGTGTCCGTCTAGTAGAAAGAGAAAGAAGATGAGAGACCGCTAGCTAACTCTCTTTCTTGTGACGCATGCGCAGTCGTCTGTCCAATAGTTGGTCCAAGCATCACATCGAAATAGTAAGATGCTTACTGTTGCCAATGCGCATGCGCGATTAGAATGAGAAAGCGATTTCTCATCTTCTTTCTCTTTCTATTAGAGGGACACTTCAACTTATAGTAACGTCTGTATCTCCCCTACTCTATTCTTATACCTCTATGTTTGCACGTGTGTCGCGCGGATCCGTATGCCGAGGCACCTCGTACGCTGTCCCTGTAGGCGCCGCATATTGCGAGACATCTGCTTTGCATGACAAGGTATATTTATGTATCCTGTAAAGGAATATCTTAAGAATAACGTGTCGATTTACTCGATTAAATAGTTTAATAATTAATTATTGAAACTAAAGAATCCGGCTCGAAGGACCATGTGTCTGTCTTGGTCTTTGGGCACACGCCTACCCAGAACAAAATTATAGGAAGTAAAAAGGGAATTACCCACCACAACCACAGATTAATGTTTGTTTAAAGACGGGATAACATCCGTATCTGAGACTATCCGAAACTCGAATATTGGGAATTGATTACACTATGTATTAATTCCAGATACAAACAGAAGCGGTACCCATACAATTATTCATATTACTGTATCGAGATCCCTTTCATATCTATATCACCATCTACACGACTGTTACCAGCTCCAGCGTTATTTTCTTTCGCTACCAGATTGCTAAGTCTGTTTCCGTCTGTACACAGAATATCGAGCAAGTGTTTCTGAACACCGCCACTTCACTCTTGACGCTGTCAGCCACCAATTCCACCATGAAGTCGTACGATTCTGCTGATGATGAACGAAATAACGGTAGGTCAACGATTGCACGCGAACACCCGACGAAGTAACCTCCTGAAACACGTAAAATAATGCAATATACAGGCAATATAAGACAGGCAGGTTGTCATAACATAATGGTCCAACAAATTTGTTCCCGAAATTATCATTTTAATTGCTAAAAGTGCGTCCAGATTATATTATAACATGTATACGACCTCTCCAAATGTTCTGAAATTGTACATCCACACTTGTATAACATGTTATATAACATACTAGCTGACCCAGCGAACTTCGTACCGCCCTAAAAAAAATAGGGGTTGTCCAGCGGACAAAATTGTGAATCTAAACCATTCTCAGATCCCCTTGAACACACACAAAAAATTTCATCAAAATCGGTCCAGTCGTTTAAGAGAAGTTCAGTGACATACACACTCACAGAAGAATTATATATATAAAGATTTGCTACAAAGTACGGACGCACCGTAAGATTTTACCTACAATATGTGCAAGAAGTATTCTATACTAACGGCCGCCCGCGACTTCGTCTGTGTTAACTTTAGTTTTTTGAAAATCCCTAAGCATCCTGAAAATTTTTCGGAATAATACCCTATGCCTCAATTCAGGTACTAAACTATATATATGACAAATTTCATCCAAATCCGTACAACCGTTTTTGCGTGATTGAATAACAAACATAGAAACTTTCACATTTATAAACTCAATCTGATTTATTCAGTCTAGGCTGTTACAAGCTCTTGTAAAAGTCAAACGCTACGCCATCGGTTAGTCTACGGCGGGAGACCTTGTACTGAGAAGAACCGGCAATAAACTCAGCAAGGGCTATTTTTTCTCCCTGTTTTGTTTCTTACAGTGTCGTCAATTGAAAGATGACATCAAAAACTGAAAACATGAGTCGATGTCAACTTTCATCACATTAATAAATTATAATATTTGTAGGATTATAATATATTTGATCTTGAAATACCTTTATCGTCTTTCTTTTCACATTAAAGCCTAATAAATCAATGTTTAATATTCCAGGTTCACCAACTGAGCACTCAGATGTTACGGCTAAAGTAGAACTACCCTCATACAACACTAGCGACGGTGTCGCGTACGGCGAACTGCAACGAAACATGTGTTGTTGACAGTACACAATGCACTTCCACGCGAAAATGCTACTAATGGATACGGGTGATAATTGCTGCATACCTCTTATTATATAGAGCATAGCATCCTTATATGTATTTACAATTTTACAGGAAATCTGCTTCTCTAATATTATAAATCCGGAAAGAATGGATTTCGAATTGTTATTTAATTTTAACAACAGGCAAACGGCTGAAGGGAATTTGACAAATATTTTGAGAGAAGTAGGGTGGATTTTCCGCTTCAATTAGAGCGTTCGTCTGGGGAAGTAAGCTCCACCTTACAGAAGACCACAGTAAAATAAAAGTGCCTTTTAGCGGTGTTGTATTTCTGTCGGTAAGAAGGTTTCAGGAAATCACCGGGGATTGGGTCATGGTAGGCACCGGTGCGAGTAATATTTTTTGTATCGCAAGCATCTACAGGCTATAGTAGCCGCTTACCATCAGGCGGGACATATGCCTGTTTGCTCCCATTTTGACATAAAAAAGGTATTCGGATACATTAAATCCTGGACGTACACATAGGTCACATTAAAAGTTTTGTAGGTAGATTTGTAGTTAAGGGTTATTGTTTGTTTAATAATGGAACAGACAGACGCAGTAAACGATTATTTTATAGTTTTATAATAAAATCAAAGTCTACAATGAGAATTAATAAATCTAATGTGATCAATATAATAAAATAAATAATATTGTCTATGAATGAATTTTATATATATTTTTATAATCACAATAATTAGAAAATATTGTAGACATAAAATAATCTTAAGAACTATTTCACTAGAAACATGAATACTTAAAATGAAAATCTAATTTAACATAATATTGTTTTAAAATCATAACGAGAAAAAGCCAACAGATATGTCTATTTTGTGAAAAATATCTTGAAAATGTGTATTCTGCAAAGTTGTGCTCACCACTTCAAACGGGAATCAATTCTGATAACGCCGTAACTACTCAAATACTAATACTTGACTTGTCTATTAAAGTATCATCTGTGATAGTAAAAAGTTTCATTCCCGCATGACAGTGTTCTCAACTTAGGGTTTTTACATGCCTGAATTTAGGGACAAATAAGTGCGATCATATTTTTACACAAGTACATATATGGGCTAGGAGGATATTATAGACTGTACAATACTACTCTGGGGACCTGTTTTTAAGGCAATATCTAAAAAAAACTAGTTTTTATTTACGTTCAATATGTTCGATTCTATTTTAAGCAGTTCTGCCTTTAGCTCTAGTGGTAAATATTTTTGGGAGTTGGTAACATTATCACATATAGTTCGTGGATTTCTCTATTACGTCACTTATTTACGTATACTTACTTATGTATTTAATTGTAACAATAATACTTTTATATTGTTACTTTGAATGAAATAAGTGCAGAAGAACATGTCTACATGTATGTGATTGACGTAAATCCCATTAAATTTATGTAAAAATTTAAGCGTCATAGTTTTTTTTTATAGTGAGGTAGACTTTTCCCCACTTGATGTTGAGTGGTGATAAAGTCCAAGCGCGAAGATAAATGGTACAGCAGTTATAAACTGCTACACGTAATTACCTCACCTTGCCGGTCTGAAAAAATGTTTCTTCACACCTCTCTTAAAGGATCACAGATTGTAGGAAGGAGGGAACATAGTGAAAAGTAGACGGAGTTCAGCGTTGGTATTCCATAGGGCAGAAAAATTGTATTCTGGCCGGTATCATTACCACGTTTCCCTACAACATCACCTTTCTTCGCGACTGGACTCCACTTAGAGCAAGCGTACATTGAGCTTGTAGGGGCTTTGTCAAACCACTAGAGGCGCGATGTCCGCTCATAGAGGTATAATAATAGAGTAGGGGAAATATAGACTACTACAAGTGGAAGTGTCCCTCTAATAGAAAAAGACAGAAGATGAGAGACCGCTAGCTTTCTCTCGCTAATCGCGCATGAGTAATGGCAACCATAACAATCTTACTATTTCGATGTGATGCCATTGGATGCCATGCATCACAAGAGAGAGAAATAGCTAGCGGTCTCTCATCTTCTTCCTCTTTCTATTAGAGGGACACTTCCACTTGTAGTAGAGTCTATATCTCCCTTAGAGCCGCCTTCCCCACTCTATTTTTTATACCTCTATGTGTCCGCTTACTCTTACACTTAATATCAGTTGGTTTGAAGTACAGCTGAAATATCTTAACCGATCTGAAATTAGCCGATTGTATGCCTGCGCAATGGATTCTTTAGGAATAAAATTGGCTGATGTCATTTTGATCATGGTTAAGTTCAGATCGGACAAAATAAACATTTAATTTCTAGTTTAAAAAAAATAGGCAATTAGTATTCATTCTTGCCTCTTACCAAACATAACTGTAACTAATGAGATCGCTTGTAGATTAGTTAAAAAAAGTAGTTGTATTGTTTGATACTGGGGTATATTTTGTCATAATATTTATTTAATATGGTGTATTTTTTATATAAAGGAAGCAATTTTATATCTAGTACATATAATAAAAATAGATAAATATCTAAATTTTAAATATCACTGCCATAGTTTGTACCGCAAATTGGAATCGATTCTTTTCAAGTTAGTTATCTAAAAATTTTCACTGGTTCATAGATCTTAAATTTCTGTGCTGAAAAATTACGCGACGGCACAAGTAGGTACTATACTTTTCTTTTTCTGCTAGTTTATGTTTCTCTTTAAAATATTTATAGTAAATAATCAATAAAGCTAATATTAAAAATTGTTTATTTTATATTATTTGGATTTTTTCCTTTTGTAAAGTAGTGATAAATGTAGTTAATAAAATTGTTTAAAATAATAATAAAATAATTATTAGATTTATAAATTACTAATTTTATACATTTTTGTATTTTATTGTATCTATCATGACATGACTAAATGACACTGTTCTATTTAATAAACACTTATCTGTTTGTGTTATATAATTATGTTGCAGAATACAGAAAGAGGTTAGAAGGGCCTTGTAGGGCGGGGTAGGCGCGCCAAAGTTGTGAGAGTTAATACTTGACCAAAACTTGGTTCTGATTGAGTCTGTGCTCTCGGGTGTGAGCGCTGATTGGTTCGATTATTTGATGACGCGTCGTTTGATTGGTTGAAATGAAGTGGGGGTGGGCCGGCGACATCGGTTCCCGTACAAACGGTCTGTGAATCACCCTTTTTATCTCTTTCTGTGTTATGTGCAAGAAAGGGTGAAATAAGAACAGGTGGAATACTCAAAACTTTAGAAATAGGTACATGCATAGTCTATTCGGCCACGACCATGACCAGGGGGTCAATCGCCGAACGGGATTGCTATGGCTATCGCTAGCGCTTACGATTTAATTTTATTAATTCTGACCGCCGAAGATTTTCAAATACCACACGCTCATTTTCTTTAATATTGTTATTACCAATGCAAAAGAAAAAAAAGAGCGCAATGTATTTGAATACCTTCGGTGGTCAGAAATAACAAATTGAAATCGTAAGCGATAACGATAGTCATAGCAATCCCGTTAGGCGATTGGCCCCCTGTGGACGCAAAGGCCAGATTAACTAAAGTTGGCCATTTCGGCCAAGTGGTTTCTTAATTTGCGCGAGGTGCCTAATCATTAGTTTATTGTTATTAGTATAGTATACGCGAATGTTCGATGATGCGAATTTATTTGATGTAAACATATTTTGACAAGTTAGCGGTGCACTTTGAGACAATTTTCGCTTGAACATAATTAAGATATTAGTAAGGAACTACACCCAATATATGTTATTAGTGCAGGCGATTATTGCTTATAAGAACCATCAACTTCTTTCACTATACATGCTTAGTTAGTATAGACGTTACAAGGATTACTGTAGTCTTGTTAGGTTTTTTGTTATTTGTGTATCGCTATGAATTATTTAGTATATTATATTTTCTGTGACAAACCTCTATCAATTACGTTACTTCATATTAAAGCAATCGTCTTTATATTACTGAATGTTTTATTTATGAACCATTTAACACGGGCCTCTGTTAATTTTTCGTGTTAACTAGTCGTCTTCAGAGAAATCAATTTAAAGTAGTCCTGAATGCGAGGTTTTTCTTAACAGGTGAAAGTACTTATAGCAGTAATCCATCCTAAATGTTAATTTTACTACTCTGGGATAAGATAATGAATAAATAGTAATTTCAAAACAAACTATTTAATTCCCAATAACATAAACACAATTTCACAACACAATATAATATGTTAAAAGTACTACCCACAATTTTCTTAGGCTCAGTTCACAATACTTTGATTATGTAGAGCTAACATCACACAAAAAATTTGGCCTTTCTATATACTCTTTGCAACGATAATTAATACCCTAGACTAGATACAAGAACACGAATATAATCGTGGCCAAAAGGTCTATTGGACGGTCCACGTAGCTCCGTGGGATGATCGCGTAGTCAAAAACGATATAAGGTCTTAATTTAAACAGTTAAGAAAAGTTCGAAATGCAAGCTCGTAAAATTTAACGACTTGTTGCTATAGGCGGAAGAATATAGCGCTCGTGGTGTATCTAGGGTTTTTAATATTGTTGACTCTACCTTAACATATAGAAGATAAATTGTATATTGTGATATTAGAGCATGTCGTAAAGACATAATCCACCTTATTACAAAACGTACTTAAACTGGAATAAAACTGATGATGCCACTTTTGTAGACAGTGTTAGATTTTTAAATCTAGAGTAACTTTAGTCCGCGTTTTGGAATAAGGTGGAATGAGAACTGATCCATAGTAATACACTGTTTTAAATTGCACATGGAAATCTGTTGGAAGCTTGAAGCTTACACCAACTTATAAATAAATATATAATCATATAAACGAAACTAACTTAACTGAACTATTACTTAAACTAAATTTTTACCCCATAGTAAAGTCTATCTAGAACAAAATAAGGCACAATTTTTATTAACTTACATATAATATACAAGTAGGTAGTATTTTGCAAGATGGAATGTTTCAGAATTTATAACAGGTTTAAATTAAACATACATAGGTATTCTTCACCTGATTTTCCTCAAAGGGTGGCAGAGTATCAAAGGTGCATCACCATGAAACAGCTGAATTTATTACACCTGTATAAATATCACTCACGACTCTTGGGTCCAATTTAAAGATTTAATATTAAATAAATAGGTATATTAATATAATATTTGTGACATGAACATTAAATATAATTAAGTACTTCAGTTTATAAATTCTTTTTAAGGTTACAATTAAATGCATTGTCATGGCTTTATTATGATTGACAAAAGACAAAATAGATTTCCAAAAAAGATTTTTGAAGAACTTTATTCGTGACTAAAAATATCATTCTTTTATTCATGCATACAAAATGATTGGACAGTATTCTAGTATCACCAAGGACATATTGATTAATCCAGAAGATAAACTTATTTGCGTGGTCAAATTAATGTCGGTAATTGTGCTTGTTAATGAAAATTTAGAGACAGAAAATGTTGGATGCCCCTGTCTCTGAATATTATTGATTAACTTTAATTTGATTTTATGTCATTATGAAATATATTAAATTTTTACTATTTTCTAATTTTAATTATTACTGTTTGGACCTGTATTTTATTTTATCATATTACGTTACCATCTTATTGTTCTCAGTTTTACAATAAACGAATTTAATTGCAAATTCCTTATTAGTAAATTTCTTGCCAACATACGAAATGATAGCAGAAGTCTTAAAAAACCCCTTGTTTGCATAGAAACATAACTACTTTCTAAAGGGTTTAGGCCAAAAACGTAATTTGTCAAACAAGTAGGTAACTTTACGTTAAACTTTATGTAAACTCAACTTAACATTCACGAAAAGGGTAATTGAAGCCCCCGACTCTAATCACTTGGCACACACACAAATATTTCAACATGCACGCACTAACAGATACACTTTGACACAACACGTTTCTTGGCAAACTGTCTTCGCTTACAGCTCGTCTTTGGGTTCTGGCATATCGTCTTCTTCGAGATCTTCCTCTTCTATATCGTCGGCGCCGAAACTGGGCGCCCCGCCCCCCGCGCCAAAACCGCCGAATCCATAAGGATCCGGTCCGTGAATCTGAAACAATGGAAACATTGATAATTTCAATTCAAACTTCTCTTGGTTTTTATCTTTATCCATAAATAAACTAACGGCCCGCCCTCGTTTCGCTTCGGTGTGGACTATAGTTTCTGTTCTAATACACTGCTGGACACATCTATTGGCCCACCTTAGAGTTTAGGTTTCGATGGCCCCTACCGAAATATGATTGCTAGATTGAACAAAAACTGTTGATGCAGTTTTAAACCTGATACATTTTACCATCTTTTTCGATCGTATTGTTTTAAATTTGAATTCAGAATACCATACGACATGGAGCTACGCCTAAGAAGTCAGATATGCGCCTTGTTAAAGGCAATTGATTTTTGAATAAAAAACATGTTTTATCAAATAAAGGTTTAATTTAATAACGCGTGTTGCCTCCATGGGCATCTACCACAGCTCTCATACGATTAGGCATAGAGTTTATCAACCGCTCTATGAAATTTTGAGGGATCATCTCCCATTCCTCTTCTATGGCAGTTTTCAACTCCTGCATCGTCTGGGCAACTGGCTGACGAGCCCTAACACGTCTTTTTAGCTCGTCCCACATGTGCTCAATGGGGTTCATGTCTGGACTTCTGGTTGGCCAGTCCATAACTGTGATGTTCACATCCCGAAGATATTCCCTGACGATGCCGGCCGCATGGGCTCTTGCATTATCATGCATAAAAAGGAAATTTGGGCCCACATAGTCCGCGTATGGTATCACGTGAGGTTCTAAGCACTCACGAATGTACGTTTCAGCATTTAATGTTGGCAGCCGTGGTCCTGTAACAACCTCAAGTTGAGTTTTGCCGCTCGCGGATATACTGCCCCAGACAGTCCATGAGCCACCGCCATAAGCAACCCTCTCTTCAAAGCAGCATTGTGCGAAACGCTCACCCTTACGTCGGTAGACCTTCTTCCTTCCATCATTGCCATGTAACACAATTTTAGACTCATCAGAAAAGTGTACACGGCTCCAATCTTGCTGTGTCCAATTAAAATGACTGCGTGCGAAATGAAGGCGCGCTGTTCGGTGGGCTCGCGTTAGTTTGGGCCCATTAGCTGGCTTGTGTGGTACCATATCGCGTTCTTTTAACCTTCTCCGAACAGTTCGAGCGCTCACAGATACTCCGTGGAAGTCGCGAATTTGTTTTTGTATCTCAATGGAAGTAAGGTGACGATTTCTCAAGCTGGTCGTCACGATGAATCGATCCTGTTGAGGCTCCAAATTGTCTTTTGTTTCTTTAAATTCTGTGTTCGAAATTCAAAAAAAGACTATTGAATGAAATTGTGAATGTGCCAGGTTCTGCAACTGCATAAAAACTTTTTACTCGACCTAATATAAAATTTTAGCTAGGACCAAACGAAACTGAAAATACAAGGTGGGCCAATAGATGTGTCCAAAAGTGTATATAACCTACAGCACTCGCAAATTACGTGAATTTCTATTGATAAATGAATTTTCAAAATCGGTTCTGTAGATCCAGAGATTACCCCGTACAACGTTGCAATTCAAAAATTTTACCTCTTTGGGGCCTTCTTGACTCCCGGGTAGGGTTACCATCTGTCAGGATTTGTCCGGACAAATAGTCCGGCCTTAGCCTTTTGTCCTGATTTTTTTAATTAGATGGAATATTAGTAAAACTACTAAAGTTATATCAAAGAAGTCAAATAATCTTTATTAAGTTAAATAACTCATTAATTTAAAACAAAATATAAATTATCTTTAAAAATCAACGAGACATAATATCACTGTAACTAAGTGGGTGATGTTTACCTTTTGTCACTAAAATGTACGGTCGTTTATCGAAATGTCCGACTTTTTGTCAGGACTTTTCAAATTTTGATTTAGTAACCCTACTCCCGGGCCTACAATAATAATAATAATAAACATTTATTTCAGACTTTAAATCCATATATTTACAAGTGTTAGTAACAGAGTTAATTCTAGTGTTAGTAAATGAAAAACGTACTTAAACGTAAATAACAATATACGACAATTGGATTCCGATGTGACTAGACTGTTATTTATATATAATTATAATATGCCTATGCCAAACGCCTGGGAACGGCCAGAACTACAGTGTGTAGTTTGCGAGTAAAACTAGACGATTGGAGCGACAGAGAGACACGCCACAAGCTTGTAATGATTTAACTCTGTCATGCAAAAACGGTAAACATAGTTTGCATGAAACGTTGAAATGTTTCGTGCACATGCCCCCCCCCCCCCCCCTGCCTATAACGAAAGTTAGTGTTACAAATATTAAGAAATTATAATAGACCAAAGATTGTTGTTTGTGTTGTTGTTGGAAATATTTAAAGATTATCATGGCAAGCTCATATGAAATTGGTTTCCTGTAGGTTAAGAAAACTCATGTGTATTTTCAAAACTCTTAGGCATATAGGCTATAAAAACAATTAAATGAAATCTACTCCGCACGAGCACAATCTATCATAATAGTATTTCTATGTGGGGCGGCGCATTTAAAGAGTCATTTCTTACAGGTTGAGGGAGGGAGGGAGATAGCACAAAGGGCTCATATTAAAGTAAAGTTTTTTAGGAATAGGCAATTTTCCATCAGTAAGCCCTTACGTTATAGCAGACCTTTTGATAGTTAGGAAATTGTACATTTTACACATAGTTTTAAAAAGGCACATGACCTTAGAGTACAATACCGCATATTTGCATATGACACGAAAGGACCGAGTTGCTTTTATTAAACAGACCCATGCTCATTTTGCTCAGTATCAGTATGGCTTCATATCTACATATTTATATAACTCAATAAATTAAAAAAATATCCATGACTATCCGTGATTGCAAACAAAAATTATCAACTGGGCTGAAAACCTTGGATTATGATAAGACTGAAAAACTTTTGAAAATAACCACTTGAAACACATTCACACAACATACCCATACACACACATGCAAACACACACGCACTGTAACGTGTTAAAAACATCACATGGGTTTTGTTTGGTTGAAGAGAGAGATACAAGGACTCTGTTTAGGTTGACTCTCACTTCCTCCTTTATCATAGATCGTTTTTCGCTCGTCCATGCGCTTTTATTTTTATTTTCTGTAGCTTAACAAGGCTTCTAGACTGATTCTAATGCTTGCCTTTTGGAAGAAACAAAATTTTATTGTCACTTTACGACGTAATTTCTCTTATTCACAACATGTAATTTCTTAATCAGATTTTTTTTAAGATTATTCTTATGATTATCAATTATTTTTAATGGTATGTGTTTTCATTAATTCAAAGTGTTTTCCTTAAATATTTCGGTAAATTACACGTAGATTTTGTTTTAGCAGGAGATATAAGTTAGCCGTGGAGATGTCTGTCGGCCTGTTTCTTTAATCTTTTTATAAAACGGTAAGAACTTTCGAAATTTCTTGTTTTATACATTTTCTTTTGTTTTGTGCCATGTGCTAATCTGCGGACTGTTCATTTTTCATTACATTTCATGAAACACTTCCTAACCGCTACATTTCGCGCCATTTCTTCACATGCAAGTTAAAATAATTGTAATTTTTTATTGGTCTTTGTTAAAACATTTCTGGACAATTTCAATCTTACCATGACAAACTCCTTTGCCAGAGGGATCTGACCTTTGAGATATCAAATAGGAATATGTCTACCTTATTCCAAAACGAGGATTAAAGTTAGTCTTGGTTTAAACCTAATGTTGTCTCTGTCTTCCTTTTATCAAATAAAAGTGACAACAGTTTCAGTCCAGGTTTAACTTTAGTCTACGTTATGTAATAAGGCAGTATATATTATCTTTTTCATAAAGTTTCATCTTTAACACTTAGCCATCCCTTAACAAAAAGGCAAGCAAGATATCTATCAAAATGTTTATACCTTAACATACTCGCTCTCCATCTGTTCGGTCCAGGTTGTGTCTTCCTTGTTGGGAATCATCCAATCTTCACAATAATTCGTATGTTTGTAGCAGATCTGAAGAGTAAAATAATGGTATATATACTTATCCATTAATGTGAATGAAAGTCAAAAAATAATGCCCCTCTGAAAAAATGTATCAAACTATTTAAAAAAAAGATTTTCCATGTGAATACATCCAACAGATCCTAAATCAACAATAGGGCTCCCCAATTATAAGGCCACAGTTAACATAAACAAGAAATCAACCATAATGAAAATGAATAAGCCTTTTATATATTTTGAATCTAGAATCCAAGTATATAAATTTGCATGCAGCTACATGGACGAATGGAAGTTCATTTTGTTTAGCTACTGATGTAACCAAAGCTCAAATAGTATGTAGAAATAATATAACTTTGGAGTTGCTCACCTCTTTTTCGGCATCAGGCATCACATCATCCTCCGGTCTGTTCTTATAGAGATCTGTAATCTCATCCTCATTCTCTTCAAACATCCGTTCGCACTGACAACATAAATTTTTCATAATATTATAGATTTACTACTACTCCTAATAGTTTATGAATAAATAAAATGCATTTATTTATGCAGGAAGTACAGGTTCAAGTTCAATTATATAACAAGAACAACATCTTGTTAACTGGTAAAAAGAGCCTAATGGGATTAATCCTACAAGTGTGCAATAACATAGTTGGTATAATTTAAAGCTTCTCAATCTGAAGGTAAATTTAAACTTTAGGCAAATAACAGGCTCATTAAATGTTGATGGAGATATACCTGCACTCCCTACCTGGTCACTAGGTCATTCCTAAAAGGACTGTATCCAGCCCTACATCATGCTACTACTATACGGGTGTTATTTAAACAGTTAGCAAAGTATTTATATCTAAATTAGCAAAAAAAAATATTGGGTCTATTAAGGTAGGTCTGGCGCCTGATTACTTTTTTAATTTTATTTTGACATATCCATATTGCTTTAAAACTATTTTTGTCTTAACCTTATTGTTTTTAATATGACTCAGGTAAAATGGTAATAATATTAATACTCACATAATACTCCAAACTCTTATTCAAATCGTCGTCGGTGACAAATTTAGTTTTGGAGAACTCTGGATTCATGCCACCAGAATCTGTCATTAGCTTCATGATTGCCAGCTTGCCAGTGGACTTATAATAAACGCGAACATAGTCATCCATCCTCTTGCCTGTTATAGAAAGAGTTTTTTTTTTTAAATTAGTTGGTGTGTTATGGAAGGACCTATACAGACTAGGTCTAGGTTTTTACAACCTCCTTAAGTTCTGGAGACCCATAACTGATAAAAAATATATAAAACAGAGATGTAACCTTGTGTCTATGGTCATTTTGGATTACTGTGCCTGTGGTATCTAAGTGAAAACAATTGATATAATATCACTAGTTATATTCTGTGAGTCTTGGATCTGGCTTTAAAAGGTATTATCAAAAAACCTAAAACTCGTAAGTTTGTAAACATCTCTCAAATAAGAGGAACTGTCCTGATCAACAATCAGTCAATTAGGGTGCAGGTAAGTGAATATTATTTTACACTCCTCTTTTGTACAAGTTTTATAATGAGCTCAAGTCATACTACTTATATAAGTAACTTATTAATTATTATCTTTTACTGATCAATAATGAACACAATAAGCACTGATCACAGTTAATTGTATCCGCTGCATCTCTGTAATATTTAGATGTTTTACTACTCCATACATTTCTCTATGTGATAAACAGAATCTCTATGCTGGGTAAGAACAACAGTTGTAGACATTGCTTTATTGCGCTCATAATGATGCCCTGCTCTAATGTTAGGAATATGGATGATGACGAGGTAAATTAAAATATAATTCAATTAAGTCCCTTAGCTACATTACCAAAATATAATACACACATTTTTTTTTACTTTCGTCAATCTGCCAATAAATCACATCAGTTTGGGAGCAGGGACTTGTGACTTCACTTCTGAGTAAAATTTATATGAAGGTGTTACAAATGAATGTATCTCTGTAATGTTTTGATTGTGAGAGTAAAGAAAAAAATAAGCATCCAATACTTTTTCATGATCCACCTGATAGAAGAAAAAAAATGTAAGTCATCATCCCTATTGCCTAGCATTAAGTATTCACTGCATAGTCTAACAAGGCCCAAACTTACAGATCCCATCAATTACTTCAGATATGTAAACAGCAGAGCGGTGAGCAGGCACTTTATCCTGCATTGTGTTACCACTAGCATCCATTCTGAAATTGCCCACCTGAAATTGCATTTTGCTGAATGATCTGTATTTTTAAATTTTGTGGTAAATGTAAGTCAAATAAAATGTTTGATAAATCAGGATATTTGAAATAAAGATATATCTTCCTCTGTGAAATTGTATACTAAATTTCAAACTTACATCAACTTTTTTCCATTTTTCAGTAGTCTTGATTACTTGATTCAGCTCTTCAAAGATTTGACGGCATACTGAAATAAATAATAATTTAATTTAATTACTAAAAATATAGGTATTTAAAGTAGAAGTAGATTAACTTTGAATACACACCTAAGCATTTCAAATTCTTTGGGTCTATCCTCGCCGATACAACTGAAAAGACAACTGCCAAAGCAGTATAGTAGATTGCACACTTCATTTTAAATGGAATCCAATAAGATATTCATACAAACGGTCGCCTATTGAAGCACAAACGAATAAAATGATCTCCTTTCGACGTGTAAAAAAAGTTATCATTTTCACTGTCAAAATCACTTCAAAATACACGAACTCTTTTCTGATTGGTTGGGAATTGGGATTATAAATTGTACTCTGTGGTTGGGATGCTCATCCCGAGGCACGTTCCAAACCTACACACTAAGTGCAATTTGACATTATAGTAGCGGCACGCTATGATGGCCGTTTTGATGTTTCATAATCTAAATTAGTTCTAAATTCACACAAAATAACGCTCTATTAGTGCCAACACTTTGTAAAATTTCATAATGATAGCTTATAAAGGAAGAAAGTTAAAGAAGACATAGGTTGCTTTCCAATTACAGAGCATAATGCGACTCAGTGCCGCACAAAGCTGAATTATGCTGATGCTTAATTGGAACGTGAATTAGTTTTCAAATGCACCAGCAGAGTGCGCTAAGTTCAGTGTTGAAAAAAAAAGTCAATGTTTGTACCTTCATCCATACTTATATTTATTTTTTTAACAGTTTGAATTAACTTTGATTGTTTAAAAAAAACTATTATTGAAACGAACGCTTTAATAATTTTTCAACAATAAATAATATTACTTACGATAACATATAAATAAAACATTTCGATCAATGCCAACTTAAAGAAAAAACACTTAAATAAGACTAGTTTTTACGGGTTAATGCACGAAACGTCAATAAATAAATAAAGTTTCGTGCATTAACCCGTAAAAACTAGTTTTATTTAATGAGTGATGTGCGTGAAAACCTAAGAAACAGAAAAAACACTTGTTAATTTTCTTTCTCTAAGTTGGTACCATTGCACGCATCACACGAAAGCATCACTTTTGAGAGTGCTCAATTGTGCGAAGCGTTGCTATAGTTGGAATACTCAACGTTAAGCATTATGCCGCATAATGCGCAATAATGCTGTAATTGGAAAGCAACCATAAATAACCTTCGGAGCTGGAGTTATGGTAGCGTACACCATGTTCATGCATAAAGAAAGAGAAAATTTCTTTTATCATATTTTTTATTTATAATGTTCATGTATAAATAGTGCGTGAAATTCTGCCTCTAATAATATTGTTGCTATATAAAATTGATTCTCTTGCGATGGCACTTCTTTATTCGAGGACCGTGAAAATTTATGTTTTAATAAAAACGAACAAATAATTGGTGTAATAAACTTCAAATTACTTCCAGCTATAATAGAAAAACGTAACTAATCGACCGCTATATTCCTTGTCCATGATATCATCCGGGGGAAGAAGAACCAGACGGTTCATAAGGTTGCTAATTAAATTCGCACGCTACTAAAGCGTCCTTTTTTTTCCTTTCACCTTTTGCTTTTATTTACTTTACCGCATAATTGTCTCTGCTTAGCCCGATGGTTGACTGGTAGAGAATGCCATGTGGCATTAAGTCGGCCATTTGTTGTAAATAACAATAAAGAGTAAATAAATAAAATAAAGCGTCTTCTCAGATCTTCGCGAATTTTCTGACAATAGCACATCTAATGTTAACCGACATGCCATCTTTTAGAAACACCATGCTCCATTAATGGTTGGATAAATATTGTGGGTGTAAGTGCTTTTAAGTCATCTTGAGTATTTGTTAAATAATGTCAGATAGTCTATTGATAAAATAGCATCTTCGCAGTCGCACGAAACTGTCTGTTACTCTATTACAGACAGTGATGCTCTACCAAAAACTTTTCCTAAGTGCTCTTCATAGGCCGACCATTCTTTCGTAGAATCCTCCCCACCAGGGAGTACCAAAAGGTATGAAATTCCACTTGATGCGCGCTATCGACGAAAAACAAAGTACTTCGTTCCAATCAATCGACTTTAGGCATTTGTTAAAGCCAGTAAAACTCGTGCCGTAGTCGTTGTATATCTATTTAAGCCTTCCTCTTCGGGCAATAAAACGGCGTACAAAGTAAATACAAAATCATGACTTGATAACTTGCGTCTCTGCGTACGCATGATAATCACAGATCACATTTTTGGTTGATATAATTAAACGGCCACAGTTTGAATAACTGTGGTTGAATTGAGTTGACAAAACATAATGTTTGCCTGTTCAATGTTATTGATGTTGATTTGGTTTGTCATTGCTGATGTTATAAAGTTCTGTGCACCTGTACACATTATAGTAACATGGCGTATCTTGCAATACAAGCAGTTACCTTTGGCCGGTTTCAACTTCTTGTCTCAAGAAGTGAATTAAGTAATTTGCTTAGTTCATCACCTTTTGTTTTATATCTGGCGCGTATGAGATTCCACGTACATAGAATTTCGAAATTCCGGTTATGCAGATTCAATCATGAGGAACAATACTGACGCATACTTATCTTTTGCAACTCAAAGTGTCTCCATGCTCCAAATCTTGTAAGGGATTTTGAAAACTATTATAGAGCGATGTTAAGTCACTTGTTTGGCTTCTTTATCTCTTGAGCACCAAATTGAGTAGGTTGACTTTGAACGTGTAGGTTTCAATAAGCATGTCGGCCTGTGCAACTATGTATTAAATTATCTTTTCCTTTCTTTCCTATCTGTTCCTATATATCGCTGCTTCCTTCCTTTCTTTTACGGTCTTGGTAATTTGCTGGGCGTATGGAATCGCGTCAAGCAGGCAACACCTGGATTCCATCCCAATTATTGTAAAATATACAAACATACACTAAGTTTCATATACAGGGTGAAATTGAATGTTTTAATGAAACTTCGTGGGAATGTTGGGTTACGTATATAGAGTATCTCTGATTTTTTTCGGATTTTTTAAAAAATGATTTAAAATAAAATTTTGTTTTTTTTTTGTTATATTTTAAGTCCTTTCCTCCTTTTGGGTACTAAATAATTAATCTTTTAAAACATGCATACAGAGTAAGTAAAAAACAAGTAATAAGCACTACTAAAAAAGACGTAAAAACAGGAGACGGGCGGCCGGGAGCAATGACCGCTCCCGCCGTTGAATACCTTCCTGCCTACCTATCTAGGTATGCGCGGTGCACAGCGCAGTGAGCGAGCGGAGTCTCAAGCGCGCGTGCGTATCTTTTAAATTTGTGACAAGACAAGATTTGCAAATAATGCCGTGATTAGTTCTTGTTCTGTGCCCTCAATATAAGAATTTGGATATGGTGTGTTGTTATTGCGAGTGTCACGGAATACTAAGCAGAGCCACAAGGCTTTACGAGAGTAGGTTTGGTGATTTATTGGGAAGTTATAGTGAAAAAAAATAATAGGTACATCGGTCTCGTAAGTACTTTTGAATACCTGGTAATAAATTTCATTCTGACCCAAGTATTGAACTACAATAAGTGTTTCTTTTTGTTTAACTTTTGCCTATTTCCAATCGTGACAAAATTATTATTAACTTTTTAAGTTTTTCTCTGCTTAAGAGAAGATGACATTTGTGCTTATTATTTCAATTTCAATAAAGGCATCTAAGACGATTTTATTGTATTGTGTGGAATCAAACGAGTCAGCTGAGCTCTGTGTACGTACCTACTCACTCAACGGCTGGCGGGCGCGGTCGGTCGTTGACCCGCGGTGGAATTTTACTGTTTTTCCGTTTTTTAGAAATGCTTATTTATTAGTTGTTTTTCACTGGATATGTAAGCATGTTTGTTTAATATGAATAACTACTCAAAAGGAGGAAAGGACAAAAAATACACAAATTATAAATAAATACATGAAAAAAAATCCGAAAAAAATCAGGCATACTCTATACTCGTAACCCAACAATCTCACGAAGTTTCATTAAAACATTCAATTTCACCCTATATTGTATAAACATTGTAAAGAATTCAATAAAAAGCATAAAAGTGTGCCCTATGTGGTGCTATAAGTAGCTTTCCAGCGCATTATACGGCATAATGCTTAATGTTGAGTGTTTCAACTACAGCAACGCTTCGCACAATCGAGCACTGTCAAAAGTAATGCTTTCGTGTGATGCGTGCAATCGTACCAACTCAGAGACAGAAAATTAACAAGTGTTTTTTCTTTAAGTTGGCATTGATCGAAATGTTTTATTTATATGTTATCGTTCATGGACGTATAAAAAAAGGCAGACAGAGTTTCGGCTAAGGGTACGGGTACGGCCAGAGTGCACTCAGATTCAGATTCCGAAAACAAGCGCGAGAAATAAACAGTGTAGTCTAAGCAGGTTGCCTGCTTTTTCTCGCGCTTGTTTTCTGAGTCTGAATCTGAATCTGAATCAGGAGTGCACTCTGGCCGTACCCTTCGACTACACTGTTTATTTCTCGCGCTTGTTTTCGGAATCTGAATCTGAATCGGAGTGCACTCAGATTCAGATTCAGACTCAGAAAACAAGCGCGAGAAATAAACAATGTAGTTAAAGCAGGGTGGCCATAGTGGCAGCAGGCAACCTGCTTAAACTACACTGTATATTTCTCGCGCTTGTTTTCTGAGTCTGAATCTGAATCTGAGTGCACTCTGGCCGTACCCTAAGACAATATTGAGGCACCGTAATGGCGGCGGCTATTGGTGAGTGAGTGAATTGTAGGGTTACTAGGTTAGCCAATTTTTTACCAATAAAACACAGTAAAAACATGAAAATATTTTGATTGTTCAAAATTTTACTTTTTGCCTGACTGCGGAGGATAATGTTTTTCGAGCGTATGTATGCATGTATGTATGTATGTCCAATAATTTGGCACGCCCTACAGCCTGAACGTCTTGACGGATTTTGACATGCGAGGTATCATTTGATTTGTCGTGATTGTGTGAGTGGCACTCGGTATATTAAAATTTCAAAAAATCAAAATAACAGATTTTATGCGCCAAAATGAAATATTTTGAAAAAAAAGTATAAGTATTTTCATAACCCGTTAAGCGAGGTATCAAAGTGAAGGGTTTTAAAAGAATATTTAGAAAATATACAACTCGTGTAATTAAAAAATAATGAAATTAAAATGTCAAAAATAAAA